AATAGTCATAAAAACTATATCATTACACAAAACATGATAAAACTGTTTATATTATATATTTGAACATTTTACAAATTATCAATAAAAATGGAAATACAAGAAGTAAAAAAATATGAATAGGTAAAAGCAAGATATAACAAAAAGTCAGACAATGAAAGGGCTTCACAACATTTATGGTTAATATGGTGGGGAGGTCAGAGAGCCTGCCATTGAGTGACTGTCAGAGACAGTCCGTGTTCCCCTTACTATGGGAAACCAATTGGTTATTGAGCTACCATGAGCTTCGTCCGAGTAAAGGTTCTAGGTTATATCCATACATGGTCCTTGGCTGGAGAAACAGTTTCAGAAAAATCCCCTGTGCCCAGATATATATGGTCCTTGTGAGTTAGGGCATCACTAAGTCCCTTTATTTCCCTATGTGGTTTCTCTCTAGATGATCTGTCCCTTGGTGAGAGTGTAGTGTTGAAGTCTCTCACTATTAAGGAGTTGTGATTGATGTGTGATTTAAGCTTTAATAATGTTTCATTTATGAATGCAGGTACTCTTGTATTTGGCGCATAGATGTTCAGATTTGTGATGTCCTCTTGGTGGATTTTTCCTTCAATGAGAATGTAGTGTCCCTCCTCATATTTTTTTATTAATTTTGGTTGAAAGTCTATTTTATTAGATATTAGGATAGCTACTCCTGCTTGTTTTCTGGGTCTACTTGCTTGGAAAACATTTTTTCAGCCCTTTTCTCTGAGGTAGCGTTTACCTTGTTGCATAGGTGTTTTTCTTGGATGCAGCAGAATGTTGGATCCTGTTCCCACACCCATTTTGTTAGTCTCTGTCTCTTTATTGGAGAGTTGAGTCTATTGATGCTGATAGATAATAGTGACAAATGAACATTAGTTTCTTTTATTGTGGAGTTCATGCTCTTATTGTGATTCATTGCTTGTTTGCTTTTAATTTTTGTTGGGAAATTATCTGTAGCCTCTGTTTTCTTAGGTATAGTTGTCTTCATTTGATTGGAGTTTTCTTCTAGTATCTTCTGTAGGGCTGGTTTGCTGTATAGATATTGCTTAAATTTAGTTCTGTCATGGAATATTTTGTTTTCTCCATCTATGTTGATTGAAAGCTTTGCAGGGTATAGTAGTCTGAGTTGGCATCTGTGTTCTCTTAGAGTCTGCATGATATCTTCCCAGGCCCTTCTGGCTTTCATAGTTTCTGATGAGAAGTCCAGTGTGATTCTGATAGGTCTACCTTTATATGTTACTTGGCCTTTTTCCCTTGCTGCTTTTACTATCTTTTCTTTGTTCTGTAGGCTTAGTGTTTTGACTATGATGTGATGTGGGGTGTTTTCTTTTCTGGTCTAGTCTATTTGGTGTTCTGTAGGCCTCTTGTAAGTTTATGGAAATCTCTTTAGTCTGGGACAATTTTTTTTCTATGATTTTCTTGAAAATATTTTCTGGACTTGGAGCCTGGAATCTTCTTTTTCATCGATTCCTAGCATTCTTAGATTTTATCTTTTCATGGTGTCCTTGATTTCTATGATGTTATGTGTTTGGGACATTTCTTTAAGAGAATTATCAATTTCTGTGAGTGTATCTTCAACACCAGAGATTCTCATTTCCATCTCTTGGGACTCCAAAGCAGGTTCAGCTGGCAGCTGCGGCTGAGGGGCTAGGAGCTCTGCCTCAGTTGCTGTAGTCCCCAGGCAGTGAGTTCTGACCTGAGAATCTCTGTGAGCCAGCTGTGTAGAGGAGGAGGGAGGCCTGAAAAAGGGGAGTGCAGGTGATCACAATATCTTTCTCTCCTTCCCCAAAGAAGTCCGGGGGGTGACCTGAGACTTAAGGTCTCAACTCACATGATGTCCCCTCTTGTTCATAACTCCTCATCATCGTTTCCCTAGCTTTAGTTGTCCTTCTACTCACTAACTCTGGCGTTTCAGCGCCTCTACCACTCAGAAACTGTGGGAGCTGGTCGCCGCCATCTTGGATCTCAATAAACAACATTTTGTTTGATGGATTTTCTGTATTGTTTTTGTTTTTATTTCAGTGATTGGTGCAGTTGTCTTTATTTCTCTCCTACTTACCTTGGACTTAAATCACTTTGTTATAGCTTATAAATGTAGAAGTTTAGATTATTGTAGAACTCTGATTTCTAAGCAATGTTTTAGCTGTATTACAAAAATTTTGATATAATCCCAAATATTTTATTTCAAAATATTTAATACAAAATGCTCTCAGATTTTTTTATGAGAAAACTGACTTATGATTGCATTGACTTATGATTGCATAAAATATGTTAATTTTCAGGTCTTTAAATTTTTTTCAGTTATCTTTGCACATTGATTTTTAATATTAATGTAGATAGAGAACTTACTGAGTATTACTAATGATTTTTAATATTTTATGACCCAAAATTATCTGAAGAATTTATGTATCTTGGTAAATGATCTTTGTATATTTGAAAAGAAAGTGTACCCTGCCATCTGATAATTTATTCTATAAATGTCAGGCTAAGCTGGTTGATTGTATGACAGTGTTAGTCAAGTTATCTGTATGTTTATTGCTCTTTTTAAGATTTTTGTTACTTCAAGCATTGAAGATATTTAAATCTTTAGTAACTTTTAAGACTTTGTCTGTTTCTCAGTTCATTCTTGTCAGATTTGCCTCATGCATTTTGAAGTTATATAATTCTGTGCCAGTGCTTACGATTGTTGCCTGTTTATGGAAGTAGTTATTTATTATTATTCATCGCTACTAATATTCCTTGTCCTGCAGGTAAGAGCATTGAGGAATGTTTGGACCGTCAGTCAATATTCTTGTTGCTTGATTTTAATATTTGTTTCAGTGGATGGAAAGTGGGCTTTACTTAAGGACAGTGGTTCTGAAGCCTTTGTGTCTCATCACCTCTGTAGATGTATAAAAATCATTGACAACTCCTAAGAACTTATTTACTTGGCCATATCAATTAAAAATTAAGACAGGACATTTATAATAGTATCATTTGTTTTAAAATTGCTATAAATAAACTTTTTTCATATTGAAAAAGAAAAAAGAAACATAGCAATGGAAATTTCGGAGAAGTACGACCCACAGCACATATGGGTAATGGGTTCCTTTTGTAGCATTTAAGAATAATGACTTAGTCTTACATCCTGGACCACTGATGTGCACTTGTTAATAAATAGAGACCAATATAAGTATATCGTTGTCTAGTAAAATTTTAACACTATTATCCTGAATGTTGTGAGGAGTCTCTGGGAGTTAAGTTCTAATGTTTGGTAAGGATACAAATCACCTGCTCTGGTACTAAGGAGTCAGGGAATTCGTATTTATACTTTTTGCCTTTTGTGTCTAAAGTAGACAAACCCTGAGGATTATTTTTGAAATAATTTGGCAAAATTATTAGGTACATTTAAGAGGTCTATAAAAATCACTGCAAAATAATGAACCTAAAATGGGATGTAGATGCTGTCAAATAGTTTCTTTTCCAAAAAAAAAAAAAAACTTTCTGATCAAATGATACTGTTATCTAATATCAACCTTCATAAACATTCTGTTGTAAGGTATTTCAAAAGAAATTAGAAAACAAAAATTGGTCAAATAGTATGTATTATGTACAGATTTGCCAGAACCAAGAGAGAAACAAGTTTTTAATCCTCTCTGCAGTTCTTACAGTGTTACAATTTATGAAAAAGTGAAGCAAATCTGGGAAATAAGTAGAATGGGCATTTCTTTTAGACAAATTCTCAGATGCTGTGGACTCTCCTCCAGGTAGGCAAGATGCTTACTGGGTACCAGAGTTTCTGCCTACTTATTCTCAGAGCTTGAAAATCCTGGGCAAAGTTGAGTTCTTTAGAATTCCATTTTAGGGTTGCTGTTTTCAGTAGGACGTTTTTCCTGGAGCTCAACGTGGTCATGTCCAATAATCTAAACTCATCAGTTGCATAAACTACTCAATTAACTTTCAGGTTGTAGGATTTGTTACATAGAAAGGGACTATACTGGTTGAGACACAGCTTTCTTTCCACCCCTTTTCCTGCCTTCCCTCTAAGTTTCAGATTGCCTTACTTCAGGTTTGTACTGTGATTTATGAGACTCCCACTTCTGCCTGTCGGTGCCTAATTTCTTCTTTTCAGCACCTTAACTATCCTATTTGTCTTTGATACTGCAACCTGAACTTTCCTCAGAGTCTCAAAAATACTGCTGTCTGTCTACCTGTTCATTGTGTAAGTAAAGTCTTGTGGCTTCAAGAAACAAAATCTGTCCCAGTGTCCTCTGCCGTGTGCTATGCCTTTCAGGAACTGGACAGAGTTTAAGATTACCTTAAGCTTGAGTATGCTACACACAGTTACTCTCATCTGAGTCTTCACAATTATTTTATTTTGGGGCACTTACTTTGGAAGCTTGCAGTTAAAAAAAAATTTAGGATGTCCTGGTAGGTAGTATTCATTATTTCAACTCTTCCCTATCTTTCCTAGGAATTTGGGTGACATCCTTCTTAAGTGTAACAGCTGAGGAAGACTGCATCTCTTCTACTTTCTATGTAAATGTGGGAAACTAACCAAAATGAGGGACAAATACCACACACAGGCTAGTGTAGCATGCAATGTACAATCTCCTCTCACATGGTTGGAAAAAGAGCATTCATTTTGTTGTAGGTGAGAATATAAAATAGCAAAGTCTTTATATGTATAATATACATATATATGTGTGTTTAGTTTGTATGTGTAATATATGTATATACATACATACATATGTATATATACACATATAATTATGTATATATATATATATACACATATAATTATCCAGGAGATACTGCATTCCATTAAATAAGACTAACAACCAAAGGAAAATTATTGTATGATGCAACCTCTAATGGAATCTAAAAGGACTCATAGAAGCAAAGAGCAAAAGTGCATAATACCAAGGGGAGATATGGAGAGATAAGGGTGAAAGGACATAATTATAATTACTATATCATTATTAATAAATAAATTAAATACCTGAGTGCTCATTTCAGCATCACATACACTAAAATTGGAACTATACAGAGAAGATTAGCATGGTCCCTGTGCATGGATGACATGAAAATTTTTGAAGCATTACTTATTTTTTAGGGAACTGGACAGGAGATGGAATGGGCAGGGAAAGAAGGGTGATAGGATATGGGAGAACAGGGGTGGGAGGTGAGAGGGCTGGGAACAAGAAGGGAAACTTAGAGGGGAATTTCTTTGTCAAGAAGGAGGATGCTACAGGGTAGGCTCTTGGGAAGATATGTGTGTGACCCTAGCTGAGACTCCTAAAGAGGTAGGTGGTGGGTTATCAAGAAATGACCACCTCTTAGACAGGCAGGACTAGTTGAAGGAGAGGAGCAACAACTCACCCACAAAACCTTTGATTCAACAATTACCTTGCCTAAAAGAGGTACGTGAATAAAGAGTGAACAAAGATTGAGGGAATGTCCAACCAATAATTGGCCCAACCTGAGACCCACCTCATGGTAGAGAGCTAGCCACTGACAGTATTAACAATCCTCTGCTAGGCTTGCAGACAGGAGCCTAACTTGACTGTCCTCTGGGAGGCTCTAGCGGGCACTAGATTGAGACAGGTGTTGGGACTTGCAGCCAAGTATAGGGCAGAGATCCAGGATCCTGTGAAAGTGTTGGGGGAAAGATGATGGAAGAACCTCGGGGGGAGACGAACCTCACAAGAAGACCAACAGAACCAACCAACCCAGACTCACGGGGGCTTACAGAGACTGAGACGTCAACTTACAAGCATGCATGGTCTGGACCTAGGCTCCTTGCTCACATGTGGCTGCTGGGTGGTTTGGTCTTCAAATGGGTTGACTGGTGAGTGGAATGGCAGAGGCAGGGGTGGCATGGAGGAGGCTGTTCCTAACATGGACTCTATTGCCTGCTTTTGGGTCACTTCCCCCTGGCAGGGCTGCCTTGCCTGGCCTCATGGGATGAGGATATACTTAGTTCTGATGTGACTTGATGTGCTGGGGAGGGTTGATATGAGGTGGTGGGGAGGACTCCCCTTTTCTGGAGAGAAATGGAGAGGAGAATAGGGATGGAAGGGAAAGAGGTGACTGGAAAAAGAGGAGGAAGGAGTCACAAGGGGTTTAAAGAAAATAAACTGAAATTTTTAAAATACAAAAAAAATAGATAGCTGAAAATTCCTAAGACAGTATTTTTACCATAAAAATGAATAGCACACAAGTTAAGTAGTTTAATTTAAATTAGTTAAATAGTTTGAAATAGTTAATTAAGTTAAATAGCTTAATTCATAGGGTATATTAATAATAAAAACTCATAGAATGTTATGGGTTTCAACTGAACTCGTGTACTAGGTTCAACAGGCCAAAATACACTAGAATTATTCTTGTGAAAAAAACAGACCACCAAACTGAGACTGAGATATTTGTTTTTCAATGTTGTACAAATAAGAGAGCTAGACTATAACCATACCAGGCAAGTGAGCAAGATAGGCAGTCTGCTCCGTTTCGATGCTTATTGGAAAAATGATGTAAGGATCTGTTTCTTCTATCATCAGTCCTTTTCTGCTCATAATGTCAAATTAGTGACCAAGATAGCAGGGCACTTATTCTAATCAATGCACAGACACACTGCCAACTTTCGGGTCTTAAAAGACAATTCATTTTTCAAGTATATTTGCTGGAATTTTGTAACATATGTATTTGTCCTGTATTTAACACACACACACACACACACACACACACACACACACACACACACACGCATCAAAGCATCATGATTTACGGTGTAAATAATGACAAAGTTTACTTAGCAATCAAAAGTACTACTCCTTTGCATTTTAGAAATAATCGAATTCAGTCTTCTTGGTTGTAACTAGATTGATGTTATTTTAATAGTCTTAAGTATTCTTGTCAAAAGTAATAACATTTAGAATTATTTCTCTTTGTCAGTGCATACATCTTTACAATATACTTGAGAGTCTTGTTGCTTCATGTTTTCAACCAGTGTTTTTCACTTTGATTCTTAATTTGCAAAATGTCTCAAAAGGTTGTTTTTAGAACACTGTGACAAAAAAATGAAAACCTCAAACACTGTCTCATAAACAGAGCACAACTTCTTTCAGTTTAAGGGATTTCAGAAAATGCACATCGCTGGCTAAAGGGATCTATAGCACTATAGTGCTATAGATATTCCTGCCTTGGAGCAAGTTTTATTACATTGTATAAACAAACACATTGCTATAAAGTAACAGTGACATGTAATTAGGTGGATAAAAATATATTCAGTGGATAAAAATACTCTTAATATTTCACTTAAAATGTCATGGCTGGCAAGTCATCATTTTCTTAATAAAACCTCAGAGGTATTAGCAGTTATGTTTATCATCTTATGATTAATTGCTTAGGGAAAGTTTCATGAAAAGTTATTTTTAGGATAATACACAAATCATCTAAAGTTTATAGATAAAAATGCTTTTCAGAAAAAAAATTAAATGTATTCTATAGCACAAAATGAAAGTATCTACAACACCATAACTTTGCATGCAGTAAACATTTTCAGTTATAAGTTTCTGGAATTATGAATAACAGTCTACATATAAAAATCACTACCTCAAAATATCTAGAAAAACAGAATATTATATGGACTTATGAAATAATATTGGGAAATCAATGAGGTGACAAAAGAAAACAAACAATGGCACTCTAGCTCTAGAAAGACATTAGAAAGAAATGTTTTGAATTTATTGAATCAAATGGCTGATCTGCTAAGCAACATAGGAGCCCACCGAAACCTTTCATATCCAAATCCGCATTGCTAATCACACTGTTATGACAAGGGAATGTAAGAGATTCATAATCTACATATGAAAAATGCAATTATAGTAACCACAAAATTGAAATAAAATTCATGATAGGAATTTTAGAATTTCGTTTGAGCATGGAAACAAAATGAAGTGAGAAAGCTTCTTAAAGTTAAATTGATCTTGAACATATTTTTAAAATATTTTATTTGGATACAATGATAGTCAATGAAAATTTTTCAAATATTCAAAAATTATCAAAAATTTTGTGCATATTTAAATTTTATTGAATAATTAATCAATTAATTCCTGCTAAATACATATTTAGTACTTTTCATGTTTTATGCATCATGTAATTCCAGATATCTTAATAAAGTCACCTAATTTTACTGTCAAATGCATTAATTAAAAATATTTCTGTAATAATAAAATCACGAACCTAAAGTGAAAATCATTTTAATGTTTAAGTAAACTAACACAGCTATACTTTCCATAAACTCTACAGACTTCTAAATTTACTCATTTATTGTATAAAATGGAATTATAATTCAATATCAATAAATTAGTTAATTTTCCTTGTGAAAATAATCATATAAGAAAATGTGATGATAAAATTCAATTAGACTTTTCAGGGAAATTTACAATTACCTTAAATCATTTTGTTTCTCAAGAGTTTTTGAAAGAAATGTGATGAAATATATTTTAGAGCAAAATGTAGCTCTATATTTTTAGAGTAAACATGATATGTCTTGACATGGTAGCTCTCTTTCATCTTATTTCTAAAGGAAATGAAGAGACATTAATGGCTTGTTCTAGTTTGCTCTTACCACATCCATATATTTTTAAAGATTTTCTTTTTATTGCAAATTCTGTTTGAAAATATGTGAAAAGTTCTTGGCATTACATAAGATCCGTGTTTTAAACCAAATATCTAGCTATCCATTCATTTACTACAAAGCCATACCTGTGTAAAAAGATAGCCAAATGTTATACAAAATATTTAATACAATTTTTCTTTAAAAAAAAGAGAAAATGTATCCATTATTAACTTTCAACACATAGCCCTTGCTTTTCTAAACAATGAAGCAGTATTTAGGGTTAGCATATTACTAAAATGTTCATTATCGTAACCACATATTACCAAGTGCAAGATCAATGGTATACGTGAGTATGCAGTCATTAATGCTGATCTTGAGGAGGAAATGACCCTGTTTCTTTGTGTGGACAAGGGTGGAGAAGAACATGTCAGAAAACCTTGTGATTTTGTCAGTGCGTAAGTGTATATGCACAGTGGGTATGTGTGCTGTCCTCTGAAGACTCACCATAAGTTAAGTCTTCGGATGTCTGGGGTGAACAGTAGAAATGCAATAGTGTGTGACATGTGGATTTCTTGGCAAGCATGTGACTTAAAAGGCAAACTCTATGTGTGTGCTTTGTAAAACATTCCTTGTATATATGGTGATATATTATGAAAATTAATGGGCTTTTCTTCCCTTTTAAAAGTTCTCTGACAAACTTTAAGATTCCTTCAACAATATTCATGCATTTTGAAACTTTTATCTTTCCTATGATGTTAAAGCATAGTTGTCTTTCAGCACATGTGGGGGATTGATTTGAAGTCCCCCAATCCCACACTCAATAACAAAATCTGTAGAAACTCAATTCTTTTATATAATTTGCCAATTTTTTAACATAAACTATATGTATCTGCCAAAATAGTTTAAATCAATGTTAGATTGTTATCAATGCTTCATACAGTAAAAATGCTTTTGGAATAATTGAAGAAAAATCTATATTAAAGAAGGATATAATTATTTTCCTAGAAATGATTGGTTATGTATGGTTGCATTTATAGATGTAAGACTTGAGACAGTCATTATCAATGGAAAATTTTAAAGGAAAATGTAGACATTTAAAAGCTATATTCTGTGTATTAGGAGAACAATTTATACTATAATTGACTTGAAAATTAGACTAAAAATTTAACTCACAATATTTTATTCTTTGTTTGCTTTGTTTTCTTTGTACTTGTAACAAAATCTTCAGCGTTTCCTTATTATTTTATTTTTTAATTATTTCTTCATTGTTTTATTCATTACAATTTATTCACTTTGTATCCTAGTTGTACCCTCCTTTCTCCTCCCCTCTCAATTCCAACCTCCCTGCCTCTTCTATTCCCATGCCACTCCCCAAGTCCACTAATAGGGGAGGTCCTCCTCCCCTTCCATCTGACCCTAGCCTATCAGGTCTCATCAGAACTGCCTGCATTTTCTTCCTCTGTGGCCTGGTAAGGCTGCTTCCCCATCAGGGG